AACATATGTCACTAAGGCTGTGCGGTAGCCAACAACATGTGCATATATGCCTACTGCTGTTCAAATGTTATCAATTTTAGTTGTATATTCGTGTGTGGATGGGGATAAGTAATGGTGCAAAGAAGCATTGCATGCAACAACTTTGCAAGGCAAAAACATGGATTAAATATCTGAGTTTTCGCTGGTTTTTGTAGAACCACCTGCAACCGGAAACGGACATTTCACCGAATCAAAAACGAAGAAAGAATGTATCGCCAAGAAAAAAAGGTTAGTTGAAAAATCTATGGCGGTGGTTTGTAATGGGCTTTCCTGTAATGCCCAGTAATGGACACCAAAAAGCATGTAACTAGGCTCTAGCAGACCTGCTCTGATTTAGAGCCAAGGCAAGGTCCTGGGTACTTTTCAGCTTTCATTTGCATAACAATGGCTAACTGTGAACTTTAACACCGTCTCACAAAGCAACAGTCTTGAATGATGCAGGTTGTTGATTCTGCTCGCCACAAGTCTTTTTATCCATCACTCCTGATGGAAACAATAACGCTAGAGCTAAAATTAACATAAAACACTGGCGACCCGCTGGTGTGGGGGTAAGTCTAGATGGAAAAGCACCATTGAAATACAACAAAAGGAGTTTAATCCATATTCAATGTCAACAAAAGACCCCGAAACCACAAAAGTATGGCAAGTGCCATTAACGTTAGAAGTGGTGCAGGCAAAGCTGAGGAAAAATGATCCCTTAATGAAACATTTTGGACACAGATGTGATTAATATCGAACTATTAGACGTGTTAGGAATAATTTGCCTACCAATTGCAGGCTACCTATGCTAAGAAACCAATGCGTTGTACAAAAATGCAGCCAATGTATCACGTGAAACCCACGTACAACCAAAACAATATTGGCACCCCAATATCACCCAGAGACAAAACAATCCCCCGCCTCCTTTGCCATGATTGTGTGCGTTGTAGCGTAAATATCACAGAGCTCACGTTTATAGATATAGTTATATGTTACTACACCACAACAACAGTAGGTTCTAATGCAGCCCTCTGTAAAGAAATTCGAGGTCGAAGAATCAAAAGTAGCCAGTCGTTTTGCAACAATGCATTACAACAAGGTAACTCTGGAAGTAACCAATAGCTATCCGCGGTCTTGCGATGAATGATGTAGCCTACACACCTTGTTAACGGTATCTTCTTTCTCTTCAAAGAATAAGCTGGCGAACGGCGGTTGTTTTCAGCGGAACTTTTCCTCCAGATATATCATTGGTCTAAACTGCTCCCAGATAGTATGCGACTCGAGTACGCTAACTCTGTATTCAGTATTCACAATCCCCCGCCTCGTTTTCACTCTGCGGTGGTGCTATCGCTTGTGAGCGTTGGGTTGGTCGGTTCTCCCACCCTGCCAGTCTGTCTGTCTGCCAACTATGATGGACGATAGGCTTCCTGGCATGCCCTCTCGTGGTCAATAGTCAGTGGGTATAGGCTACCACTGGCTTTCTTTGAAAGCTGTTCTACCAGTCTTAATTTTGAAAATATGTTATTTGTTCCGAATTACAGTTTAATTTGTAACAAATGTGGTTTATTGGTTTAGCCTATAGGCTACTATATCCCATGTGTAACGTGATGGGGTTGATATGGGTATCTTTTAGTTGCAATGATAATCTGACAATTAAAATACAATGGTCTGGTGATCATCAAGACTGAGCTCCATAAAGAAAGAGCTCATAATTTACCGTCTCGGTTTCTTGAGGCACCATCGGTTACCATCTCAAACCAAATCTGTGACAGACTATTCAAGACGGCCCCACAATGATCTAATTATTTAATAATAGATAATGGGGGATTTGGAGTTGCCACATTAGGATTTGCCAAATTATCCTCACCAAAAATAAATCACTATTCTTTGTAAGAAAAGCCAGTCCTGGCAAAGCTAAGTAAAACAATTACTGAAACCAAATCACCAAAATGTACAATAGCTTGCCTTTCACTGATCAGATTCCGTTATTTGATAGCGTGCTCTGCTGGTGTGAATGGGCCAGTGCATCCTACGGCCCATTGAACGCATGTAATCTACTGGTAGGGCTGGGCAATCGTTGCCATGAGCAACAAGCATTTTTAAACTACGTGTACTATTCTATCAGACAAGGGTGTTGTCGTGACCCAATCAGTATGATATATGGATCCCATACTTTCCATGTGATACAAGCATCTCCCTTCTGTGAGTAAAAACTCCAACCACAAAGAGGAAACATTCACTTTTAATAAAGAAGCAGGTAAATGTAAATGTTTATCAATTTCCACTGGCCTCCGAATTTCCTTCACTTCGCTGCTTAATTCATTGACCGTTGAAAGCAAGGTTGGAGTGTTTCCTTCCCTTTCCTGATGAAAAAAAGTTGACCACGATAAACGAGTAAGTAGTGCACTGACTTCTCTCTTTGAGACTTTATTGGTTTAATCTCTAGGGTAAAATCTTGGGAAACAAGGCTACAGAAAGCACTTGAGGATAACGATGTGCAGTTCACTGCAATTTGATCTCCGTTATATAATATACACACACACAATTTGCATCTTACACAGACAGTGCAGGCCGTCCTAACCTGGCCAGACCACGAGTTCTCGGACAATCATTTCATTATGATTACTTAAGTTTACAACCCAAAGACAGAACAAGTCCGGTTATGCTTTGCTTGTTTGTTTTTCTTTTGCAGAAAAAGAGCAGAATCGGTATTTGAGCGGTCCTTTATGGTAGGTACAGTTACGACAGCTACAGTTATAATCCAAGATACATTTCAAAAGTGCTTCAGGCTAAATTTCAACTTCAAATATAATAATAATATGCCATTTAGCAGACGCTTTTATCCAAAGCGACTTACAGTCATGTGCGCATACATTTTTACGTATGGGTGGTCGCGGGGATCGAACCCAATCACGCATCATGATAATGATCAACCAAAAGTCAGGAGACTTTTGTTTGTTTTAATTTGCTTTAAATGCAGGTCCCACTCCCTCACTTAATCCTTGTGTTGTTAAACCTTCTTCACAATAACTGATCCATATTGCACTCATAATAGTCAGGTATGTACAGCACTGGGCTATAACACAGTCTTTTCTTTGCAGATGCTTCAGAGTTTTACACTCATTAAGGGGAAGGAAGGACAACGTTTTGAATCATTTCATTTTCTGATAGAGATGGATACAAATAGTCAAATCAATAAAGGTAAACAAAAAAAGAAAAAACCCATTTAGGAAGTTAAAAAAATTACAGCGTCTAAAGCGTTTATCCTGCTGACACAGCAATAAATAACTCAGATGCCATCTATCGACTGTAGCTAGGGGAGGATGGTGTTATGAAGATTGGTGACTGCTTGGACAAGACAGGCACCGTTCCTATATCCACATTAGCATGTAATCTTGTTCACTAGACACTATTAGAAGGAGACAAGGTTACTTAGAATGAAGCAATGCATTGGCTAGTTTGGACATGTGAGTGTAGACGCAGATCCCAATTCACCACTCCCCCAAGCAAACCCCTGCCTTGTTAGCCTGCATACAAGAGGCAAGTGTGCAGTGTCATAAAATGAAAAAGTTGGGCTGCTGAAGACTTTTGTTGACAGATTCAGACACACAGATGAAAAAAAAGTTGAATAAAGAGAGAAAAACAGAATCACTCCAATGTATGCCCAAACCACACAACTACGCATAGGCAGTAGGCACAGAAACAAAATGTGCACACATCAAGAAACAATGAAACTCATAGTCTAAAGTGAGGGGCTCATACAAGTTCTCTCACAAACTATTACACACTAACCAATGGAAAATAAAGTCAACCCATTTCTATAATTTCATCAGAGGACATTTGTTTAAACGTCATCTTCCAAATAGAGCGTTTTCATATTTTCTTATGATAGGTGGAGTGGAGGGATAGCTGGCATAGTGACACATCATAAACTTTACAAATTCATCAGGACAGTCAATGATCAGAATAGTCAAGCATCTAGAACAATTTTTTTGTGGTCCAAGAAGTAATCTTTCCACTGACATACTTTTCTCTTCAGTGATAACATTGACATCAGTAGGCCAAGATGTTACATTTCTTCAATTTTACCAAACGGGATATGCAGCGCTTGCATATGCTGATATTGATATACATACAGTACTAGGGAACATTGCAGTTCAACCATTATAATGTCATCATACAGTACATTAACATCCACTGGATATCTTGGACTTAGGCGTGACATTGAAGCAGCTTCATTTTCTAATGTGACAAAATCTCACTCTTTTTGCATGTCTGCCATTCTCCTCAGTTGTTCTATCCAACAGGGTGCGTCTCAAATGGCACCCTATTCCCTATTTAGTGCACTACTTTTGACCAAGCTCTTGTAGTGCATTATAAAGGGAATAGGATGCCATTTGGGAGTCCTTTTCTGTCAATCGCAGGTGCATGGTCCTGAAGATGTGTTCTACTACAGCATTTTAGCTCCGTAAGAAACAAACGTTAAAGAAAAAAATATGTTAGTGCTCATCCTAACTGTACAATAGAGGACAGTAGTGTTTTTATACCTTTAAAATAAGCTTTATCAATCTAGACAGGAGGGTTAATTTGATGATATACTGTACATGGATAATCAGGCTAGGATGCTTCTCAGCGGATCTTCCAAACTTTGTCTTATTTTTATTTTTCGGAGAACCTGCGACGACATACATTCAACTTGGCACAGTGCAGACTAAAACCTATTAGGACATTAATGGACAAACTGCTGTGCGATAGATAAAATGGACGAGCTACGAGTATGCGTTATTAGTTACATGTTGTTGTTAATTTCGCCAGGCGCCAAGATTGCACTTTTATTCTATTGTTTGATCTCTGTCTTTTGTTTTGTTTTGTAAGGAAATCAATTTCATTCATACATTAAAACAAAAGGATCAGGAAAAAGAACTGTACAGCCTGTGTCTATTTCTTACATATATATAGTCATGTATATATATATATAAACGTTGATACTGGAAGAATCGTCCCATGTCACGTGACAAGTTCTGTGTAGTGGAATGCCAGCTCCTGTGGGTGATCTTTGCATCTTCTGTGATTATGTTTATCTTCTTCAGCAACTGAAGGAAAAAGAGAGCAAGAAGACAAAATGAGTGGAGGTAAAGCAAGACTTGTTTGAGCTCTGCTGCCATCTCTGGCTTGTCTATAAAACAGGGTCGTGTTCAGTAGTAATTAATGCCACGGAAAACGAGTATCTGTGTTCTTATTGGACAAATTCAGGTAGTGCCTCCCGGCTTCAAAACGTTTTCTACCCAACCGAACATCAGACTGGCTCAGTAAAGTCTTCTGAGAGGCCTCGACTTACTTCTTGTTCCCTCATTGCTTGGCCCCTCCTCCTCTGATGGCGGTGGGCTGGTTGTTGAAGAGCCCAGCCCGGTTGACGTTGGGGTGGGTGGGGGACGCCACAGGGGGCTGGCCAGGCCGGATGGGTTTGGCTGGGGAGGACAGAGGCACAGCACAGGTTACATACCATCAAAGGAACACTAATGGCATCACTATTTAGCGTCTGAAAAGACCAAAATGTAATGTAAATGTATTTATAGTATTATAGACAAAAACATTATGTCAGGCAGAACAGAGGACAGATCTTTCGGAATAAAAAGCAAGCATTCAACTCTTAAATCAGTGTGTGTGTGAATATTAATGACTGCGTGTGTATGAATATGTGTGTGTTTATGCCTATGTGTGTCCTCTCTCCTCACCAATCTGAGCAGAGTGGCCCCTCCTGGCCATGTTCTTGGCCCTAACGGCCTCTTTGATGCGGTCCACCTCCTGCTGGTAGCGTTTGCGGTCGCGTGCGGCGTTCTCTTTGGCCTCCTTCAGGGCCGACTCCAGGGCCTTGACTCGCTCAGCTGTAGCACGCAGGCGCTTCTCCAGTTTAGGAAGCTCACAGCGCAGGTCTGCATTATCACGCACCAGCTAGAGGAGGGGAGGGAGGAATAGACAGAGACTGTGACCAATCATACAGGTTTCACACTAATTAATTTGGTCTTTCTTTCAGTCACATTGCAGTTGTCCTTGGTATCTTTTTGATGTGTGAAGAACATTTGTGTTGACAGAAGAGTACCTGTATCTTGGAGTAATTTGGCATGTCTGTAACAGAGCCTTCCATTACAATAAAGGGCTCTGATCTGTACCACGGAATGAACAGGCATAGAACCCATTATGGCGTCATTGAAATGAATGGGGACGTGCATTCTACTCAGTCTAATTCTATGGTCTGTACCTGCTTACTGACTTTAGTGAACCATACCATTCTAATTCTATGGTCTGTACCTGCTTACTGACTTTAGTGAACCATACCATTCTAATTCTATGGTCTGTACCTGCTTACTGACTTTAGTGAACCATACCATTCTAATTCTATGGTCTGTACCTGCTTACTGACTTTAGTGAACCATACCATTCTAATTCTATGGTCTGTACCTGCTTACTGACTTTAGTGAACCATACCATTCCATCAAAGCAGGATACTTCTCTGCCATGGAAGACCTCATAACATCAGATGTATTTGTGTGTGTTTCTTTGTTTGTTTACCTGTTTGTGGACCTTTGTAAGCTGTTCCAGGTTGTTCTCCAGAAAGGAGATCTTCTGTTTCTGAGCAGCACTGCCCCCTGTATCATCTGAGTCCATCTCAGCGCTCTGCAGAAAACATACATTTTACAGAACATTTACTTTTATAGCACATTTATCAATCACTCCATTTATTTATCATTTATGAGACACACGCTTCTCCATTTTCTGTGAAAGGCTCCATTAAAGCCACAAGCTAAGAGTTTGAAATGATCACTGGGAAGCAGTAAATTAATATACCACATTGTGCCTTTCACTGATCCATATACTTTCAAGGTGGAATTGTGGTACCACAAGCTTATAACAAATATAAAATACCACAAATATCACATTTGTGACTCAGAGCTGATAAGAGACTTTTAATCTAACTTATTGCAGTGATCCAGGGTCACCCGTTCTCTCCTCTCCATCGTATCTATGTGAGCCAGCTAGAGCCTGGAGCCCGAGGGTTGGTGAAGAACCTCATACTAGTCACTGAGGATCTGAATCACAGCAGCACAGCGGATGCGTCCTAAACGGCACCCTATTCCCTATATAGTGCACTACTTTGGACCCTATGAGCCCTGGTCAAAAGTAGTCCACTATAACGAGAACAGGGTGCCATTTGGGACACAGTCAGCATCTTATTTAAATCTTTACCTTTGAAGAAGAGAACTACAGGCTGACCTAGTTACCAATGCCTCCTTCTTTTGTCTGCTGAGGAGGTTCATTAAACATTCAACAGGGTAACACTAAAGTGGGGCGCTTCAGGCCAGGGTTAAGGGAACAGTTTTATTTAACGGAAAAGTCTACACCGGTTGTATTCGGCACATGAAACATCAAATTTGATTTGAACGAGGATGTGTGTCCCGCACTGTCCCGGTCCAGGTGATGATGGTACGGTCGCTCTTGCAATGTAATGGCAATATGTGAACGTTGTGCATTACAGGGCTGATAAAGTAACTGATTCATATGGTTCCTTCTTGGTCTTTCTAAAATGATAATGAGGGGGGGGAAAGGTGCATCTCTGGCTTGTAAAAAGCTAACTCAGTGCGTTTTACCTTCTTGACTCTGGTAGCCAGGTCCTGAACAAACAGCTTTCTGAGGTTGTGTAGCGTCTGAAGCTCCTTAGCCACAGTCTCCTCCAGCCCCTTCAAGTCTTGTCTGGCCTGCTCTCTCCTGTCCTGCATCACCCTGTAACACACACACAAAACCAGATCAGTGATTCCCCATTGCCACGTCACAGCTGTTCATATGGCTGCAGACATTAGTCATGTATTTCTTCTTATTTATGCAGGCAAATCAGCTAAGGACACCTTTTTGTGTGAATATCGATTGTGTGTGTACGATGGCAACTGGATGTGTGTTTACGTACGTGAGCTCGTGCAGCTTGCGGCTCTTCTCCTGGTCGGTGGACTTGAGCTTCTCGTGCTCCACCCTCAGACGCTCCTGTTCCAGCATGATCTCCTGGTTCAGACTGGAGAGAGACAGATCCAGACGTAGTGAGACAGAGACGGCAACTAACTACAAAAGAACAGTTGTTCCATACGTCATTTTTGTGTCCGATGAGCCTCAAGGAATGATTGTGCGTGTGTTCCCTTACTCCTGGAGCTCAGTGATGAGTTTCTCCTTGTTGTCCAGCTCGTCTCTCAGGCTGCTGATCTGTTTCTGATGGGCCTCACGGTGAGACTGGATCTGATGCTCAACCGCCTCCTAGGATCAACGGACACATATACAACTAGTGACCAACAAATATATGAAAACTGAGTACCAACACAAAATAATAGTATTTTTAGCAGACACTTATCTAAAGGGACTTTCATAGCAGTAACCTTTGACAAAGATATATATTGAGTATATTTGGCCCATACAGGATTCAAAACATACAATCATGGAGAATCTTGTACACAAATACAACTGATTACCAACACATAAAGTTTGAATAATCGGAATTATCAGTTATCAAGTGAGGAAAGAATAGCCTGTCAGGAGAAATCCACTGTTGGTCATTACCTTTACTTCAGTTGCAGTTTGGACCTCATTCTCCTTCTCCATAGCCTGGACTTTCTCTGTGAGGGGAGAAAAGTAGATGTGTGTCAGCAATCATTTCACCACTAGATAGCACTATACTGTTCAGGGCTCGACATACAGGGCTGCCCGCTGGCCCGGGGAGGTTTTGGAAACCCTCCGGGTCAATCGATCATCCCAGTCCTTGGCACGCTCGGGCCAGTGATTTTTGTTTTGTAATCTAAGATATAAAATTGATTCAAAAGATGTTCCAAGTTATGATATCTACCAGTAAATACTAAGGCAAGAATGGGTATGCAAACCAGGTATTTAAAAAGTAAAAAATATTGGTTGAATCTTGGAATAGCCTACCTTAAAAATCTGACATTTTCTCTAGGCTATTTGGGTCCTTGAAAAGACATTGAAGTTATGGTAGCCGATTTAGAAGTTCTACAGCTCCAAAATATACTGAATAAAAATATAAACGCAACATGTAAAGTGTTGATCCCATGTTTCATGAGCTGAAATAAAAAGATCAGACATTTTCCATACGCACAAAAAGCATATTTCTCTCAAATTTGGTGCACAATTTTGTTAAGATCGCTGTTAGTGAGCATTTCTCCTTTGCCAAGATAATCCATCCACCTGACAAGTGTGGCATATCAAGAAGCTGATTAAACAGCATGATCATTACACAGGTGCACCTTGTGCTGGGGACAATAAAAGGCCCCTCTAAAATGTGCAGTTTTGTCACAACACAATGCCACAGATGTCTCATGTTTTGAGGGAGCATGTAATTGGCATGCTGACTGCAGGAATGTCCACCAGAGTTGTTGCCAGAGAATTAATGTTAATTTCTCTACCATAAGCCGCCTCCAACTTTGTTTTAGAGAAACGCAGACCATGTGTAACCACGCCAGGACCTTCACATCCGGCTTTTTCACCTGCCACCTGGACAGCTGATGAAATTGAGGAGTAGTTCGGTCTGTAATAAAGCCCTTTTGTGGGGAAAAACTTATTCTGATTGGCTGGGCCTGGCTTCCCAGTGTGTGTGCCTATGCTCTCCCTGGCCCACCCATGGCTGCGCCTCTGCCCAGTTATGTGAAAACCATAGATTAGGGCCTAAGGAATGTATTTAAATTGACTGATTTCCTTAAATGAACTGTAACTCAGTAAAACCATTGAATGTTGCGTTTATATTTTTGTACAGTATAACTATTCTGTGATTTCATTTCAGGGCTCAAAACGGCGAGATGTAGCCGTTTTCATTTGTTTTCCGCCGTTTCAATTGAAGGGTGTTGCGCTAACCTGTTGCAGTTATTATGAGCAAGACGACGTCAAATGTTGGCTTCAACTTGGTTTTCCATACAAAGCGTTCTATTACAAAGGGAACACGTTTTTTGGGGTCGCTTTCTCATTTTAAAACATGATACAATAACCCCTCAATAACTCATCAACATCTCAAATGGCAAGACTGACTAGCTACCACATGGACAGGCTTCATAGAGTGTTTGTGTCGGGAGCATGCTGTCTATTTAGCCAGGCATTGCCCACATTCTGACATATTTTAGAATGTTTAAATAATGTGAACGTCAATGCATAATGCCATTGGGTAGGCCTATAAAAATATTAATTATTCTTAAAGTGGTAATGCATACTTTTTTTCTATAGGCTATTACAACAATTACATATAAAATGTAGGTCCTTGAAAATTACAATTAAGTACTTGAAAAATGTATTGAAAGTCCTTGAATTTGACTTACCAATGTCTGTATGAACCCTGTATAGCCTACTTGCTCAGCCCACAAATGAAAGATAAAATCACCTGCTATTGAAATGATGTACACCATTCGCTTTCCAGTCAGATCTGGACCCGGGCCGGTATTATTAAAATAATTATCGGGCCAGTAGCTTTCAGTTGGCACTGACCCATGTACCACTGGAAAATGTACCTGAATGTCGAGCCCTGCTGTTGAAAAGCTGGGTGTCAACCTGTAGCCAAATGTGTCCATGGGTTTGTAAAAATAATATATAAAAATACACATTTCAATAACGAATGTGTGATGTGCCTTCTTGGGGACAGGTCTTCCTATTTGAATAAAGGATGAATAAATTATAAATTAAAGCGGTTGTAGTCACCCTGAGTGCTGATCTTGACCAGCTCCTCATTCAGAGAGTCTACGTTCTCCTCCAGCTGTCTCTTCTTCTGCTCCACGTTCTGAAGGTACTCTGTCAGGGACTTGATCTTAGCCTCGTGCTTGAGGGGGAGAGAGAGAAAGTGAAAATGGAGCAATACATGGAACCAGGGTTGGGGTAGATTTCATTTCAATTCAGTGAATTCAGGAGGTAAACTGTAACCCCATTCCCTATCCAAATGTTACTCATTGCTTTTCATTCACTGAATTGAAATAGAAGTGATTCGATTTTAATTTGAGTGACAGCCACCCTGTGACACCCTCTCCCGAGCCCTCTTGTTCCAGGTGACGTTGGTTACCTGGGAGATGCGTAGCTGACAGGCGGCCAGCTCCTTCTCGTTCTCGTCCATCTTCTGGTTGCTCTCGGCCTGGGTGCTCTCCAGCTGCTTGCTGCGTTTCACCATGGTCTTCACCTCTGACTTCATCTTACTGATGTACAGACGAGCCACCGTGAACTCCTCGTCTATCAGACCACTGCCCTCGTGTTGCTGGGAGGGGGGAAAGGGGGAGGAGACGAGGTAAAGGCACAAATGTTAGACTCAAATGTCACCGTGCAAAAGACATGCATCAGACAATGTAACTAATGCATAGTTTAGGAGGAGGTTACGTATGTTTGGGATGAGGTTATGTATGGTTTGAGATGAGGTTACGTATGGTTTGGGATGAGGTTACATGATACTTATAAGAGCCACACAGGCTCCCCCTCTTCCCTGGAATCCCCAAAAAGTATCCCAATTCTAGGCTTCCCTTCCATGACTGGCTGGCGTGGCACTGAATGATGATGCGTACCTTGATGTCGTTGCTGCCCACGGCGATGCCGATCTCTACCAGGTCTTTGAGCAGCGATGACATCATCTCAGTGACCCTCTTCTTCTGGTGGTTGGTCATCTCCTTCAGCTTCTGCAGCTCAGAGTCAATGGACACCAGGATACTCTGAGGAGGACAAACAGTACAGGTTGATTTCAAAACACTTCTGGGTATCGTTACTTTCTTCTAAATCAGGGACTTAATGATTCAACAGCCGACCTCAGACACTAGCTGTGTACACTCTAGCTAAATCAGTGACAATCAATTAATCAGGGAGCAAAGAAAACCAGCAGTACTCCCCCCCCCCTTAGGTTGTGATAGTTGGCACATAGTGATCAACCAAGGTGAGTTAAGTTTGTGAATGACCAAAGAGGAAGAAGCAAGAGGGATAACTACGCCCAAAATCTTTCTCCAGCAGGTAGCTGGATGTATGGAGGTCATTGAGTGTCGAATTTGATGAAGAAAAAAATTGAATAGCAGTTTGGTAATGATTAGGCTGTGTGTACTGATAGAAGTAGGACACAAGACATCCCGGTAACTTTGACAAAAAACACTTTATATCAGAGTTGTGCCTGGTTGTCACTAGTTACCACAGCCATAAAGTCATAAACCCCACCTATTTCAAAAATGTTCTTCTGATTTTTTGTTTTCATTAATTTTTACAATATAATCCATTTTGACTATGTGGCTGTAGTTAATGGGAGTATGGGGTGTTACAGGTACAAACGTCAAATTCATATAATTTCATATATTCAGTTCATATCATATTGTCATTCATTATTCTCCATATCTATTTATGTTCTACCTGCAATAGTTGGCACATAGTCATCAACCAAGGTGAGTTTAGTTTGTGAAGGAATTTGTTTTCTCCTTCTTTAAATGAAAGTTTTATCAAATTTCCAACATGTAACATTGTGTAACACGTAACTGAAAATAAAACCAACCGATTTCTGGTTGAGCTCCTCACTGAGAGCCTCAAACTCCTTGGTCTTGTCCTCCACCTCCTGGCTCTTCTGGTCATAGTTAACAGCCAGCTCCTCCAGGGCCTGCAGCACCTCCTTCACCTCCTCCTTGGACGCCTCGTTCTCAGACTGCAGACGGTTCAGCTCTACCTGCAAGTTGTCATGGTCACGACGTGACGAGGACAGCAGCTGGAGAAGGAACACAGGGTTGTGTTCAGTAGGGAGAAAATGTTTCGAAACAGGTAGGTGGGAGGTATTACCTGATCTTGTCTAATAAGAAGATGTATGCTTTGTTGCAGAACATTATGCTACGTTGTGCCCTACTGAACACAACCCAGGGCTGGGGGTAGCCATTAATAAGTCCCTACTCATTCTGAATATTCATCTGTAATTAAAATCCAGTCTACTGAAGGCTGAGTTGAGACAGAGACAGTGTTAAAGCTCAGATACACTGTAGGATTGTCAAGTGTTTGAGTGTCGGCAGTCAATCTCTTTTGTGTTCACACCACAAAGACCTTGGAAGTCGTCAGCCACTCAGCCTTGTTAAAATACTCCAAACTAGAAGATGGCACTAGCGTTGTTTGGCAATGTTTATCCGTGCGTATCGCTTATGGTCTGGATTCCAAGCTATCTGCGCCAATGTTGCTATTTTGTAGAAAGCTAGCTAGCTAAGGACACTGCACTAACTCGGCAGCTAACACAGGCAGCTGTTTCATGGAAACTAGCTAATCCATTGTGATTTAATTATGTCAATACTAGTGGTTAGCGAGCTTGGAGGAAGTATTTAGTGTTTTGTGCTTTGCATCTGTGCACTTAGCTAGCTACCATTCCATAGCCTACATTGCATATTTAGTGTGACTAGCTCATCCGTGGATGTACGGAGAAAATCCCCTATTTTGTCAGCACCCCCACATGGGGGTTTGTGCTCTCTGATTGACTCAAAGTCAAGATGTTGGCAACTGACAAGTAGAAACGGTAGGTTCGTCTCCACCGGGTCAGCATGCAGCAGGTACCGCTTTTGTTCTAGCAAGAGAAGTAAGGGCCTCCCACTGTGATAAGTACCTATCGGTGTTTCATGCTTTAGATGTCCGATTCTCCCCAGGCTCTAGCAGTAGGCTGATAGGTGCCTTTTTAACCCGGCTTTGTCTGGGTTAACAGTCTGACCCCCTCTCTTGGCCCTGATGAGCCTGTCCAGGCAGACTGATGGCCTAGTTAACAGAATGGCCCGGCAAGGGGGCAGTAGAGGCACGGCAGGGGTCTGTATGTGGCAGTAGGGGGGGCTCACCTCCTCCTGGTCCAGCATCTGCTGCTTCAGTTTCTCTGCCAGCTGGCTCTGCTGGTTGATCTCATCATCCTGATGGAGAGAGAGAGAGAGGAGGGAGAGAGAGCAAGAGAGAGAGAGAGAGAGAGAGGAGGGAGAGAGCGAGAGAGAGAGAGATGGTAAGGGTGTTGTTGAGACCAAAGTGTTGTTGTCAAGGGAAACCAAAATCCTCAATAAAACATAATATTTTAAATGACTACCTCATGGAAATCTCTGTGGCACCTCAGTGTGTACAACGTCACTGTCTAGATAGAATCTAGGGAGTTGCAGTGTTAAGCTCTGCTCCCTTACCTTATCATCCAGCTGCTTGTAGAGTTTAGACAGCTCAGCCTCACACTTCTCCTTCTCTGCATCGGTCAGTTTAACCCCTGGGATGCTGGGCGAGGGGGCCATCTTCTCATTGTTCACCACGTTGTCTAGAGCTTGGACCTCAGCATTAGCCTTCTCCTTGTCAAATTGCTCCTCCACCGGCACACTCTCACCTACAGGAGGCAGCACAGAGGGATGAGGGAGGGAGGGGTGGGGTGGCAGGGATGGTGGAGGGGTGGAAGGGATGGAGGGAGGGGAGTGGAAGGGATGGAGGGAGGGGAGGGGAAGGGATGGAGGGAGGGGAGTGGAGGGAGGGAGGGGAGGGAGGGAGGGAGGGGAAGGGAGGGAGGGAGGGGAAGGAAGGAGGGGCAAGGATGGAGGGGGGGATTGAGGGAGGGAGACAAGGACACAGGCAGACAGGGTTAGAGACAGGGCATAAAATTAACACCCGCCAAATGTGGGTAGATTTAGGCATTGGTAAGAATGTCTATTTTACCAGACACGTTGGCGGGTGGTCAATTTGCAGTGCTCTACAATGCGAGCATTACATTCGCAAATAAAAATAGTCAAAAGTTAAGTATGAGCACGTGCGAGTTGCTATCCATTGTAGAAAAATGCTGCAGTAGCCTTTTTCAAAGTATTTCTGCTGTTTTGTTTCAAAGCTGCTAATCGCACAAAGAAATATGAATCCTACATCCCACCTCAGGCAGCAACACTGCCTGGCGGGAGAGCTGTGCGCTCTGAGTGAAGTGCTGATAGATTCATTTTTGGAGGTGCTGTGCACAGGCATAAAAGTTGGTCTAATTTACTATAAAGTCTACAAAGTGAGACTTTGTCCTCATGTTTCTTGGCTATTTACATCGTTTTGTTCACAAGTATGGTTGTTTTTCAACGTTAGTTTGATTGTGCTGCTTCAACTGGTAGCGAAGAGACGCCCTAGTCAGATCCTAAATCTCACAGTCACAGATGACACGACTCAAGTGGCCCTGTTACCACAGTAACCTCCCGCCCTTAAAGGGACATCTGAACATTTTGTTAAAGAGACTTAGATCACAAACATTTTTATAAAATTGAACAATATACCACATTACTTGTCTTGTTTTAGAAACATTACAAAACATGATCATCCGTTTAGTTTATTTTTAAATGTAATTATGGCAAACAAATATTTTGGCTGTTAAAAAAAAATCAGATTTTTTCATCTACCTGCCACAGTGGCTGGTGGACATAAAAGTTCATTTTAGGCCCTGGTTAGAGAAGAAAGTCAGCTTCTGTGGTATCTACACAACACTTTTCTGGGTCGTATTTATTAGTGCACACCGTCACAAACTATTTTGCAACGGAAACGGTTTACTCTAAACGCGGTTTCCGCGACCCTGTTTAATCCTAAAATAGGACACGAGCGTTATTCATGATATAATCAATTATCCTAGAACACCAACTGAATAATTACGTATTTTCTCTCTCACCGTTTCTCCAGCGGTTGAGTTCGTTCTCCAGCCAGGTGACGGTGCTCCTCAGGGTCGTGTTCTTCACCTTTTCTCTTTCATACTTCTTCTTCCACTGTTCTGCCGTCAGCTCCACATTCAGACACACTGTGTTCTTAATGGTCTTTGCTCTGAGGTAACACAACAACAGCAACAAAAGTTACAGCAACAACGGTTACCTTTCAGAGTGGGAGTGTGTTTGGCAAGGCAACCACTTCCGACCACTCATAAAGCATACAGACTTCACTGCAGTACATTTATGCTATCACAGCCATGGCTAACATACTAAGCATAGAGAACCAATAATTCACCCGTTCTATTTAATTCTGTGGTACCTTCATTCAATTGACATTTATAACACTTCCGTCCACTGACTGACTTTAACACATTTTTACATTTACATTTTAGTCATTTAGCAGACGCTCTTATCCAGAGCGACTTACAGTTAGTGAGTGCATACATTTTTCATACTGGCCCCCCCGTGGGAAACGAACCCACAACCCTGGCGTTGCAAGCGCCATGCTCTACCAACTGAGCTACAGGGGGCCACTGTTGGTTCTGGGTCATTTACAGCATTGTTTCTCAACTCAGAGTTAATAGTAGAAATGGGGGTACCTGGCCGATCCACACCAGGGTACTTGGGAAGACTCAGAAGAACATGGTCATGGCTAGATGGTATCCAGCTTTTGCCAAATTAACAGCAAAAGTCAATTCTTTTTTGCATTTTAGCTAACACTAACCTAATTCTCCTAACCTGCTACATTAATTATCCTAAACAAAGAGGTGTAATGGGTTCGCACTCAAAAAGATGTCGCACAAAGCTTACTTCATTAGTCAATGTTTTAAACTTTTTTACTGCATCAGCGATAGCGTACACAGACGTTTCGGCTTTACAGCCTTCAGTGTGTAGGTACAATTTTATTTAATTCAAAACAGCATGTCTCAAGAACAGATGAGCAGCAGGTGCTTCTAATCAGGGTTGCCACCCATCTGCCAATCAGGGATGTGGCTTTTCTGGTCTTCCTGTATACAAATTAGTCACAAAGAGATACAGAATTATAGGGTATGGGAGCGGGCACGAAGGGCAACTCATTAATTCGCTCATTAATTATCCTAACCTGCAGCATAAGTTCACCTAACCTGCTACGAAAAGTCAAATCTGACGTTAATTTGACAAAAGCTGGATCCCTTCTAGCCATGACCGAAGAACATAGACCTAATGATCAGTTGTATAGAGGGGGTACTTTGGGCAGATTAAAATGTTATTGGGGGTACAGTAACCAAAAAAGGTTGAGAACCACTAATATACAGTCCAGGCGCTGAGAGCGTACCTCTGTCCGAACATCAGTGTGGACTTGGTCTCAGCCTCATTGTAGGCGGAGGGCGAGGCACAGATGACCATGGTGGTCCTACAGTTACCACCCAGAGAGTCCTGCAGGATACGGGTCATCTTACTGTCTCTGTATGGGACATAGGTCTGAAGAGAGGAGGGGAGAGGGACATGAGCTTCACAGTCAATCTACAACACTAATCACTTTGTCCTGGAGGGTAATAAATGAAAGCCTGGTCCCAGATCTGTGTGTGCAATCTAGCCAACTCACTGAAAACGTACATTTTATAAGCGTTTGCCGCATCTTTGACTTATGGTAAGATGTGTATGGTGCTTTTGTGCTTGACATGCATATTTACCATATCCCCCCCCCCATAATTCCAAAATGTCCTCGTTAGAAAAATATGTATTTTTCCAATATGTACCCCATCTCCTCCCCTATTGCTAGAACAGCTGTTTGTTGACATCTGAGTCCCAAATGGCACCTATTCCCTACATACTGCACTACTTTTCAAAAGTACACTACATAAGGGATAGGGGTGCCATTCGGGACACAATCATTCTCCCCAGCACCAAGGGAGCAGAGTGGAGTGTTACTGTCATCTCACCGAGCCTTCAGCCAGAGCAGAGATGACGTTGCCCAGTGCAGACAGAGACTTGTTGATGTTTTTAGCTTCTTCCAGCACCGCACCTTCCGCTCCAGTTTTACCCACCTACACACACACACACACACAATTTTAGGAGATCACAATAAACCACACATGCTCTCATGACAACACTAGTACCAGATCATATCACTTGAGATCACATTAGATCTGAAAATTCTAAGATAAACATGACTGCATCCTAAATGGCACCCTATTCCCGATTTAGTGCACTACTGTTGTAAAAAGTAGTACACTATATAGGGAAAAGAGTGCCAGTGTTTCCCCTATATTCATTTAGCAGCAGTGCCCGCCACTGCTAAATCGTTGCCACCACACACAAAACAAATATCCCCCATGCAGTCATCGTAATTGTATGTTTAAATCACTGTATGTCTAATAAATCACTTTTTATTTAATGAAAATAAATCTAAAATATATTTGATCATTTATTTCCCTGAGCCTCCTTTGGCCCTTCAAATGCTCAGTCTGATCGTGTGGGCGTTTGAACAAGTTTGAAGATATTTACATACACAGCCCTGATTGGCTGATAGGATGTGTAGAGCCCACCCCCTTACCAAGATGAACAGTCATTGGTCTATTATAATCAGATCACATTGTGACGTCATGATGTGGGACAAAAAGTTTGATTCCACCTGAACAAGCTGAAATTCCAGTATTTTTTTTCAAACAGCTCTTACACAAAAAGGGCATTATCATTTTCACAATTTCAGTGTTATTTTGACCTGTGTGGAAATATCATTAAAAAAAGTATATCAGGTTTAACTGCACTGCCCCTTTAATTATTTCTGCCAGATGTGCTTTTAGTGCTTGATTCTGAGCGATTATCCAGAGCGACTTACAGGACTAATTAGGGATAAGTGCCTTGCTCAAGGGCACAGACAGATGTTTCAACTAGTTGGCTCGGGGATTCGAACCAGTGACCTTTACTGGCCCAACGCTACCTGCCACCCCAAATAAATGGTTACCATGAGTTCATCTGACTCTGGGAAAGCAGAAAAAAAACAGCTTGATTGCCAAAATCTCACACTATTCCTTTAAGGTCAGAGTGACAAGTTAAAACGTATATTTGTTGCAAAATGAGCGAGCAGTGGCGCAAATAAGGGCCACGAGCGTACAGCCACCGCTTGCTCCTCATCTCCCTATAGTGCAGCGGCGCCCATCACTTATATTTCAGATGGTGTCAACATAATTACATTTTCATGCATTTGAGTAGAATGTCCTGTTAAAAAGTCACCAGAAGTGACCTTCTCACAGTCCTTCTACTAAAAAGGTACCCTGCGGTACCTTTACCGCCGCTGCTGAAAAAAATCCTAGGGGAAAAACTGAGGGTGCCATGTGCACTATGTAGGGGATACAGTGCCATTTTGGTACACAGCCCATACCTGATTAAGGTAGATAATGCTGCCAAAACACACTAAAGTCTTAACAAAGAAGATACAGGAGACCACAACAAACATTGATGTAACAAAAACGGATTATGAAAGAGGGCCACAAAGCATGTTAATGGCTTTGCTTGATCTTAATGCCATCCTGTGGATTATCATCAGATTAATAATACACCGATTACTGCTGTTGTCGTGTGAGTAATGAGTAACAACAGATGTGCTAAAGACTCGAGGCGATCCAAGATGTGGTGGTACAAGTAAGTAGCCTTGTCCGAGCCAGAACAGCCTATAGGGCAGAAGCCTATCACCCGTTTCTGTAGCGTGAGGCAGCTTGAGGTACAAGCACACCCCCTGGACAGGATGCTAATCCATGGCCTTCGATGTGGTAGGCTAGTTTGTTAATTTGTTAATGTTCAAATCAATAGCAGCGTGTTAGGCTATATCTACAGTACAGTGCCAGTAGGAGAAAGCAGGCATTGTGCAGAAGTGAATGTGATGAACTTAAACACTAAGACGGAGAAGGGAAAGGGAGGAAACGGAGGAGAAGTAGACAGAAAGAAAGAAAGGCTTATGCCAGGGTTCCCCAACTGGAAGCCCGCGGGCGTTTTTATTTGGCCCCACAAGTTAAAAAAAAGTTATATTCCCACGCATAATAGAGAGATATACTGTATATGATTGTATACAAATGTAAGCAAGGTTTGAAATGATTATGTTTTAGTCAGGTATTATATCTGTTTGGGTTTCTTGCTGTCAATTTGTAGTCTACAAATTATTTGTAATTATGTTCCGGCACCCTGAACATCCACTCAAGAAAAAAGAAAAAAACACCCTGTGGCGGAATATAGTTGATGATCCCTGGCTTAAGCTACGTCCTGATATTCCCACCCATTTTCCAGAAGTGTGACCATGCAATCTCACCGTCATGCATTTAAAAGCATAGGATTGGCGTAAGCACTGGCTGGAGTGTGTTACCGCCATTGTAAAATCCATGCAAAAAATACTTCTGAAAAAGGGTGAATGACCGGGACACAGGAAGGAAGGCACAGAGAGAAAAATAAAAAGACGGAGACATACTTTTTCACTCCCGGCCAAATCGACGAGGTAGAGCTTGCCGCTGAGTTTCTGCTCTGTAGCAGTGTTCTCCTGCTTCACGTTGATCTGGAAGATGCTGTGACTTCTGGAGCTGTGCTCGTTCATGTCTGGAACAGACACGAGCGTTAACACATAATACATCTAATGCCAACAGAAACAGAGATCTTGATGGCCATTATGAATTAAGCAACATTTATTCATTAAAAAATGTCAACATCAAGAACATCTTTGATAACTAGCATCAGTGTCGTAATGTTTCACTTTCAGTTGGACCGCTCAGCAAATGTTTAAATTTCTCTGTCTTGAGAAAACTTTTACTGTAGCATAACTTGGGTCTATAGTTTTTCCTGGTTCCTGGTCAGAAAAACTCCTGGTCCTAATTATGTAATGATGTGTAATTGCATCCTATTCCCTATATTTGCATCCCAAATGGTACCCTATTCCCCTATGGGCCCTGGTCAAAAGTAGTCCCTATCAAGGGAATAGGGTGCCATTTAGGACGTAGCCTGGGACTGCTGTGTGAGATTGTCTTGGTTGATCAGGAGATCCTGTGAGGCCAGCCTGTGAGGATGAGGATGAACCCATGAGAAGCAGGAGGGACTGAAACAGACCCAGTGTTGGACTGACTCACTTGTGACGGCAACGTGCCGGTTGGATTTGCCCTCGTCAATAGTATCCATGACCTCATCGGGGCTGCACACAAAGCGCTCGGTACACCCCTGGGGGACACACAAAGAACCAAGGAACCACTTTTCATTTGACATGGTAGACGTTCATAGACAAAGAGGCGATTATGAATACATTTTTTGATAACATTGGCATTAAAGTCTGGGACAATCAGGAAGTTAGATCGGTATTGTAAGCTCTTTAACTTTCTCCAACCAACACAGAGGATGCATCCGAAATAGCACCCTATTCCCTATAGTGCACTACATTTGACTAGCGCCCATATATCAAAAGTAGTGCACTACAAAGGGAATTGCGTGCCATGTGACCCACAACCATTCTCCCTATTGATCTATAGGCAATCCATCATTATCTACATCTACTGATCTGTCTTCTATCGATTCATCCCCCTGACCAAACGTTCATCAATCAATCTATCTATCTAATCTATGGTACCATAATAGATGTTTGGTTCACTTGACCATAAATAAACCTGTGCCTCACCTTGACATAGGGCACCCTGTTCTTATCCTCATGTACAGACAGGTTGTTCTTTGTTACTGCAGAGGAAAAAAACAAAACCAAGGTTATTTTATTATTGCAGTTATTACAGGTTGTTGATCACCATAGTAACAAGGAATCATCACCAGGCAAGCTCTGCATTTAAAGGGATACTTTGGGATTTTGGTGTCGGAGGCCCTTTATCTACTTCCGCAGAGTCCAATGAACTCATGGATACCATTTTTATGTCTCTGCGTGCAGTTTGAAGGAAGTTGCTAACTAGCGCCAGCGCAAATGCTAACTAGCACTAGCGCAATGACTGGAAGTCTATGGGTATCTGCTAGCATAAACTTCCATTATTGTGCTAATGCTAGTTACCATTGGCTTGCGAAACTACCTCTAACTTCCTCCATATTGGACACAGAGACATAAAAATGGTATCCACAGGTTCATCTGGCTCTGGGGAAGTAGATAAGTGCCATACAGATTTTGGGCGGAATATCACCTGTCGCGCAGCTCCTCAAACAGTGGTTGATGTGTGGAGTGAAATAACAGATTTACAGTGGGAAAGCGTGCAGCCTCCATTCGCTATTCGAGTGCATCCAGATGACGTGTCTTTTTCCCCCCTGCCCTGCACATTTGATTATGGGCCATTCTAAATCTAAACTAATTTTAGATATTAGTAAAGAAAATGTAATTGAGAATAGTATGATGGGTGAAAATATAATCACTTGCTCAGAGAACAGCTGTGCAGCCTCAGGCAAGGAACAGAGCGGCTTTCTCAAATCATCAACAGCCTATAGTCGCATCATGCTGCCCATATACGTTTTGATTTCTAAAACATTCTAAGGTTTGTATCATTCACAACTGAAGTTGCCAAATAACTCTAAAATCTAACATATAGGACCTGTTTCAAATGATCACATTTACACTTCATGTGCGCACTGTCTCCGGAATGGGAGAAATATCCTTTCTATTTTATTCAGCTAAGTTCAATTATATTCTTCTCACTATAAAATCATATAATATTAAATAATGGCACATCTGGTCAGCTAAATGAACAAGCCTACAGACTATGGCATGGAGCATAGCCAGATAACATACAGTAGCCAACTCATTCTCTTCAACTGAAATACATTTTCTTCATATCATATTGTTTCTTTAGACCTGACTAAAATAAAGAATGGGTTTACTGTGATTGTGTATATGAAATGGATTTATTATACTTTTTTTTTTTAAATGATGATGTTAAAAGGTGCGCATCAGCGGCTTGCATGCAGCTTGATTGCGTGGAGGCCCGGAGATGTAAATTCCAAGCATCTGCCTCTAACCCTAGGAAGCTCTTTGCCACCTTCTCCTCCCTGCTGAATCCTCCTCCCCCTCCGCCCCCCTCCTCCCTCTCTGTGGATGACTTCGTCAACCATTTTGAAAAGAATGTTGACGACATCCGATCCTCGTTTGTTAAGTCAAATGACACTGCTGGTCCTGCTCACACTGCCCTACCCTATGCTTTGACTTCTTTCTCCCCTCTCTCTCCAGATAAAATCTTGCGACTTGTGACGGCCGGCCGCCCAACAACCTGCCCGCTTGACCCTATCCCCTCCTCTCTTCTCCAGACCATCTCCGGTGACCTTCTCCCTTACCTCACCTCGCTGATCAACTCATCCTTGACCGCTGGCTATGTCCCTTCCGTCTTCAAGAGAGCGAGAGTTGCACCCCTTCTCAAAAAACCAACACTAGATCCCTCTGATGTCAACAACTACAAACCAGTATCCCTTCTTTCTTTTCTCTCCAAAACTATTGAGCGTGCCGTCTTTAGCCAACTCTCTTGCTATCTCTCTCAGAATGACCTTCTTGATCCAAACCAGTCAGGTTTCAAGACTGGTCATTCAACTGAGACTGCTCTTCTCTGTGTCACGGAGGCTCTCCGCACTGCTAAAGCTAACTCTCTCCTCTGCTCTTGTCCTTCTAGACCTGTCTGCTGCCGTTGATACTGTGAACCATCAGATCCTCCTCTCCACCCTCTCCGAGCTGGGCATCTCCTGCGCGGCTCACTCTTGGATTGCGTCCTACCTGACCGGTCGCTCCTACCAAGTGGCGTGGCGAGAAGCTGTCTCTGCACCACGTGCTCTCACCACTGGTGTCCCCCAAGGCTCAGTTCTAGGCCCTCTCCTATTCTCACTATACACCAAGTCACTTGGCTCTGTCATATCCTCACATGGCCTCTCCTATCATTGCTACGCAGACGACACACAACTAATCTTCTCCTTTCCCCCTTCTGATAACCAAGTGGCGAATCGCATCTCTGCATGTCTGGCAGACATATCAGTATGGATGACGGATCACCACCTCAAGCTGAACCTTGGCAAGACGGAGCTGCTCTTCCTCCCGGGGAAGGACTGCCCGTTCCATGATCTCGCCATCACGGTTGACAACTCCGTTGTGTCCTCCTCCCAGAGTGTGAAGAGCCTTGGCGTGACCCTGGACAACACCCTGTCGTTCTCCGCTAACATCAAGGCGGTGACCCGATCCTGTAAGTTCATGCTCTACAACATTTGGAGAGTACGACCCTGCCTTACACAGGAAGCGGCACAGGTCCTAATCCAGGCATTTGTCATCTCCCGTCTGGATTACTGCAACTCGCTGTTGGCTGGGCTCCCTGCCTGTGCCATTAAACCCCTACAACTCATCCAGAATGCCGCAGCCCGTCTGGTGTTCAACCTTCCCAAGTTCTCTCACGTCACCCCGCTCCTCTGCACACTACACTGGCTTCCAGTTGAAGCTCACATCTGCTACAAGACCATGGTGCTTGCCTACGGAGCTGTGAGGGGAACGGCACCTCCGTACTTTCAGGCTCTGATCAGTCCCTACACCCAAACGAGGGCATTGCGTTCATCCACCTCTGGCCTGCTGGCTCCCCTACCTCTGCTGAAGCACAGTTCCCGCTCAGCCCAGTCAAAACTGTTCGCTGCCCTGGCACCCCAATGGTGGAACAAGCTCCCTCACGACGCCAGGACAGCGGAGTCACTCACCTCCTCCCGGAGACATTTGAAACCCCACCTCTTTAAGGAACACCTGGGATAGGATAAAGTAATCCTTCTAACCCCCCCCTTACCCCACCCACATTTTTTTTGTAAAGTGGTTATCCCACTGGCTATAAGGTGAATGCACCAATTTGTAAGTCGCTCTGGATAAGAGCGTCTGCTAAATGACGTAAATGTAAATGTATGTTAATGAACGGTCAATTACCGTGAGATCGGCAGTCTTTTGCATGACAATAACCGGCTGACATGTCATGACCGCCACAGCCCTAGCTCAGGTGCATCCAATTTCCTTTGATCTTCCTTGAGATATCACTACAATTTGATTGGAGTCCACCTGTGGCCAATTCAATTGTTTGGACATGATTTAGAAAGAAACACACCCGTCTATATAAGGTCCCACAGTTGACAGTGCATGTCAGAGCAGAAAAACTATACCATGAAGTCCAAGGAACTGTCCGTAGATCTCCGAGATAGAATTTTGATGAGGCATATATCTGAGGAAAGGTATAAAACAATTTCTACAGTGTTTAAAGTTCGAAAGTCTCCATCATTGGTAAATTGAAAAAATATGGAACTACCCATATTCTGCCTAGAGCTGGCCATCCAACCAAACTGTGCAAAAGGGCAAGAAGGACTTTGGTCAGGGAGATGACCAAGAACCCAATGACCACTCTGACAGAACTACAGAGTTCCTTGGCTGAGCCGGGAGAACCTGCCAGAAGGACAACAGTCTCTACAGCACTTCACCAATCTGGGCTTTATGGGAGAGTGGCCAGACGGAAGCCACTCCTGAGAAAAAGGCACAACAGCAAGCCTGGAGTTTGCAAAAAGGCATGTGAAAGACAGAGCATAAGGCAAAGGATTCTGTGGTCTGATGAGACAAAAACAATTATATTTGGCCTGAATGAGAAAACCAGGCACAGCTCATCACCCGTCTAACACCATTCCTACCGTGAAGCATGGTGATGGCAGCAGCATGCTATGGGGATGCTTTTCAGCGGCAGGGACGGGGTGACTGGTAAGGATAAAGCGAACAATGAACGGAGCCAAAAACAGGCAAATCCCTAATGGGAACCTGCTTCAGAATGCAGATTTGGGCGAGGTGAGGCGAGGTGAGTAGTCATGCTGTACTTCGCTCCGCAGGTAATATGACACATTACATTACAATGGAACGATTTGATTAGTGTAATGTTGGCTAGCTACATAGTTGTATTTGTATCAAAGATAAAGGTGTAGTATAGAGTAACTATCGAGGTTAGCTAGCCAGCTACATTCGTTCGCAGCGACGCCGTTTTTCAAACAAAGTCAACACCGCAGCCATTGCTAGCTAGCCAACACTACCAGCTACCGGTTAGCAGTACTGTGGCAACTAAATACAATATCCTTTTAGCCAGCTACATTCGTTCGCAGCGACGCCGTTTTTCAAACAAAGTCAACACAGCAGCCATTGCTAGCTAGCCAACACTACCAGCTAGCAGTACTGTAGCAGTACTGTAGCAGCTAAATACAATATCGTTGTGCTAGCTAGCCAACGTTTAATTCTTGCTGCGTTATGAAAGGAACTAGACACGGACACGAATGATCTGTTTAGTGTGTTAACACACTATTGGTAGTTTGTTGTAACCAAGTATTGGTGCTAAACCGTGTGTTATTGGATGCTAGCATGCTAGTTAGCTATGGCGTCATAGTTAGCTAGCTGAATAAAGTAAGTTGAATCTATTCCTTGAAACATTGAACCGCTGTAGTTTACAACAATTCTAATTTCTAAAGTGGATGTTGGGAGAGTTTTATTCGGGTGTTTCAGTGAAACAATTATAGTCTCTGAGGTGGAAGTTGGGAGAGTTATATTTGGGAGTTGTGGTGAGGGAGGCCCGCTCTCTCCTTTCCCTGATGTTTAGTTCATTTCATTCCGATCTCCTCTGCATTATTGTAGCCATTTGCTACAGCCTGTCAACTTTGCCTCTGCCTATCCCTGTTCTCTCCTCTCCGCACAGGCTACACAAACGCCTCACACCGCGTGGCTGCTGCCTCTCTAACCTGGTGGTCCCTGCACGCACCACACACCTGGAGTTCCAGGTCTCAGGCAGCCTCTGGAACTGCCGTTCTGCTGCCAACAAGGCTGACTTCATCCCAGCCTATGCTACCCTCCAGTCCCTCGACTTCCTGGCGCTGACGGAAACATGGATTACCACTGAAAACACTGCTACTCCTACTGCTCTCTCCTCGTCTGACCATGTGTTCTCGCATACCCCGAGAGCATCTGGTCAGAGGGGTGGTGGCACAGGAATCCTCATCTCTCCCAAGTGGACATTCTCAATTTTTCCCCTAACCCATCTGTCTATCTCATCATTTGAATTCCATGCTGTCACAGTCACTAGCCCATTTAAGCTTAATATCCTTGTCATCTATCGCCCTCCAGGTTCCCTTGGAGAGTTCATCAATGAGCTTGACGCCTTGATAAGCTCCTTTCCTGAGGATGGCTCACCCCTCACAGTTTTGGGGGATTTCAACCTCCCTACGTCTACATTTGACTCATTTCTCTCTGCCTCCTTCTTTCCACTCCTCTCCTCTCCTCTTTTGACCTCACCCTCTCACCGTCCCCCCCTACTCACAAGGCAGGCAATACGCTTGACCTCATCTTCACTAGATGCTGCTCTTCTACTAATCTCACTGCAACTCCCCTCCATGTCTCAGACCACTACTTTGTATCCTTTTCTCTCTCGCTCTCCTCCAACACTACTCACTCTGCCCCTACACAGATGGTAATGCGCCGCCGCAACCTTCGCTCTCTCTCTCCCACTACTCTCTCCTCTTCCATCCTATAATCTCTTCCCTCTGCTCAATCCTTCTCCCTCCAATCTCCTGATTCTGCCTCCTCAACCCTCCTCTCCTCCCTTTCTGCATCCTTTGACTCTCTGTGTCCCCTATCCTCCCGGCCGGCTCGGTCCTCCCCTCCAGCTCCGTGGCTTGATGACTCATTGCGAGCTCACAGAACAGAGCTCCGGGCAGCTGAGCGGAAATGGAAGAAAACTAGACTCCCTGCCGACCTGGCATCTTTTCACTCCCTCCTCTCTACATTTTCTTCATCTGTTTCTGCTGCTAAGGCCACTTTCTACCACTCTAAATTCCAAGCATCTGCCTCTAACCCTAGGAAGCTCTTTGCCACATTCTCCTCCCTGCTGAATCCCCCCCCCCTCCTCCCTCTCTGTGGATGACTTTGTCAACCACTTTGAAAAGAAGGTTGACGACATCCGATCCTCGTTTGTTAAGTCTAATGACACTGCTGGTCCTGCTCACACTGCCCTACCCTATGCTTTGACTTCTTTCTCCCCTCTCTCTCCAGAGAAAATCTTGCGACTTGTGACTGCAGGCCGCCCAACAACCTGCCCGCTTGACCCCATCCCCTCCTCTCTTCTCCAGACCATCTCCGGTGACCTTCTCCCCTACCTCTCCTCGCTGATCAACTCATCCCTGACCGCTGGCTATGTCCCTTCCGTCTTCAAGAGAGCGAGAGTTGCACCCCTTCTCAAAAAACCAACACTCGATCCCTCTGATGTCAACAACTACAGACCAGTATCCCTTCTTTCTTTTCTTTCCAAAACTATTGAGCGTGCCGTCTTTAGCCAACTCTCTTGCTATCTCTCTCAGAATGACCTTCTTGATCCAAACCAGTCAGGTTTCAGGACTGGTCATTCAACTGAGACTGCTCTTCTCTGTGTCACAGAGGCTCTCCGCACTGCTAAAGCTAACTCTCTCTCCTCTGCTCTTGTCCTTCTAGACCTGTCTGCTACCTTTGATACTGTGAACCATCAGATCCTCCTCTCCACCCTCTCCGAGCTGGGCATCTCCGGCGCGGCTCACTCTTGGATTGCGTCCTACCTGACCGGTCGCTCCTACCAAGTGGCGTGGCGAGAAGCTGTCTCCGCACCACGTGCTCTCACCACTGGTGTCCCCCAGGGCTCAGTTCTAGGCCCTCTCCTATTCTCGCTATACACCAAGTCACTTGGCTCTGTCATATCCTCACATGGCCTCTCCTATCATTGCTACGCTGATGATACACAACTAATCTTCTCCTTTCCCCCTTCTGATAACCAGGTGGCGAATCGCATCTCTGCATGTCTGGCAGACATCAGTATGGATGACGGATCACCACCTCAAGCTGAACCTTGGCAAGACGGAGCTGCTCTTCCTCCCGGGGAAGGACTGTCCGTTCCATGATCTCGCCATCACGGTTGACAACTCCGTTGTGTCCTCCTCCCAGAGTGCGAAGAGCCTTGGCGTGACCCTGGACAACACCCTGTCGTTCTCCGCTAACATCAAGGCGGTGACCCGATCCTGCAGGTTCATGCTCTACAACATTCGGAGAGTACGACCCTGCCTTACACAGGAAGCGGCACAGGTCCTAATCCAGGCACTTGTCATCTCCCGTCTGGATTACTGCAACTCGCTGTTGGCTGGGCTCCCTGCCTGTGCCATTAAACCCCTACAACTCATCCAGAATGCCGCAGCCCGTCTGGTGTTCAACCTTCCCAAGTTCTCTCACGTCATCCCGCTCCTCCGCACACTCCACTGGCTTCCAGTTGAAGCTCGCATCTGTTACAAGACCATGGTGCTTGCCTATGGAGCCGTGAGGGGAACGGCACCTCCGTACCTTCAGGCTCTGATCAGTCCCTACACCCAAACGAGGGCACTGCGTTCATCCACCTCTGGCCTGCTGGCTCCCCTTCCTCTGCGGAAGCATAGTTCCCGCTCAGCACAGTCAAAACTGTTCGCTGCTCTGGCACCCCAATGGTGGAACAAGCTCCCTCACGACGCCAGGACAGCGGAGTCACTCACCACCTTCCGGAGACATTTGAAACCCCACCTCTTTAAGGAATACCTGGGATAGGATAAAGTAATCCTTCTATCCCCCCCCCCCCCAAAAAAAAGAAAAATATAATAAAAATAAACATTGTAAAGTGGTTATCCCACTGGCTATAGGGTGAATGCACCAATTTGTAAGTCGCTCTGGATAAGAGCGTCTGCTAAATGACGTAAATGTAATGTAAAATGTAATGCAAACGACCTTAGACTGGGGGTGAAGATTTACATTCCAAGAGGACAATGACCCCAGGCATACAGCCAAAGCAATGCTGAAACAGCTTCAGAACAAAAATGTGAAAGTCCTTGAGTGGCCCAGCCAAAGCCCAGACTTGAATCCCATTGAAAATCTGTGGAAAGACTTGAAGATTGCTGTTCACCACCGCTTCCCCTCTATCTTAACAGAGCTTGAGAAAATCCCCAAATCCAGATGTGCAAAGCCGATACAGACATACCCAAGACGACTCAAAGCTGTAATAGCCACCAAAGGTGCTTCTACAAAGTATTGACTTAAGGGTGTGAATACATTTCAGTATTTCAAATCCAAATTTAGAATTCAGGCTGTAACACAACAAAATGTGGAATAAGTCAAGGGGTATGAATACTTCCTGAAGGCACTGTATATCTCCAGAATGGTCAAATGAGGATGCCTGCTGTGCCGCAGCATACAGTACATACCATCCAGTAGGTCCTTGATCCTGTCCAGGTAAATCTCAAAATATGAAACCTGCAACAGAGATACCTCTGATTAGAAACAATCCTGCTGTGCTGTGTTTTTTATTAAGATTATGTAGCCGATGTGGAATAACTAGCTAGTCAGCGCCCAGTGAGGGACGGACGGACGGACAGAATATACTCTGTCATAAGTTTTTCCAATTCGCAACAGAAGCACTTGAGGCCAGCTGTGTGGTTGAAGTGCTCCATACCTTGATATGGAACTCCAGGTTCTCGTCCATGGAGTAGATGTAGTTGAAGATGTCCTGGACTATTCTGGGGATGATCCCCATACCATCCGGGTCATGGAGGCTACCCTTTACAGGACAGAGACAGGTTCCCGTCAACCATAGAACAAGAGTTGAAAGCAGGGTTGGAGTCAATTCAATTTCAATTCCGTCAATTCCAGAAGTAAACTTAAATTCCAATATTACTTAATGCCTTTTTATGAGAAAAATTTGGAATTGGAATTTCAGTTTCCTTCCTGCATTGACTGAATTGAAATGGAATTGACCCCAACGCTGGTTGAAAGCATTTGACCAAACGCATTAAGAAGGATGTATTGTATAGGCCTCTCTCACCTCCATGGTGTGCGTTTTTCCAGACGATGTCTGCCCAAAGGCAAATATAGTCCCATTGTAGCCATCAAGCACATCTGTGTATAGAGGAAAAGACATGGAGAACTTATTAAACCATGACTTTAAACTGCCAAAAGGTTTCCACTGCTGGTATAGCACCAGAGCTAGTTACCTGGGCTCGCTGCATCCATCCTTCCTTACCTTTAACAATCATTTGAGCAGAGGCTTTGTACATCTGCTCCTGTGTCGTATTGGACCCGAACACTCGGTCAAACATGAACGGTTTACCCTGTAAGACAATAGGTAAAAGTGAATCAGCAACAAAGGATACCTAGAGTATCTTGTTACAAGAACGACAAGAAAAGTGATAGGGGAAAATATTCAAACAGAAACAATTACTGTCACTTGTTCTAATGTTGACATGAGGCCTATTTTCTGTGGTAGCATAGGCCGACTGATATAGCCTAACCTACTAGCCAGGCCTATATATTAGACACTCCATTTTAATACTTGACCAATTACCATTATTCTATAATTAACAAATCAACAAACAATTGAAATACCGGTAGACAGGTATTCAAAACAGGCACAAGAGATGACATTAGCCGTCCAGCAGGTCAATGAGAAACACTACAGTATACGGTATTCACCACTAGACCAACTCAGTCCAAACACAGCCTTTCATAATTAATTTGTGTCCACTAATGGGCTGTATTGTAAAGAGATCCATTGCACACTAGACCAAGGATGCGTCCCAAATGGCACCCTATTCCTTATATAGTGCACTTGATGGGAACTGGTCTAAAGTAGCGCACTGTATAGGGAATAATGTGCCGTTTGGGATGTAGCCCTGGCCTTTCCCTTCCCTTCTCAGTGTGACTAAGGGCCAGAGACAGCTCGGAAAAATCTACATCCTCCCTCTGTGTCTCTGGAAGATGCAAAGGCTTTATTTACTGACAACAGATCAGCAGGGCACTTCAGGCTATTCCTCTGACAGCAGCAGCCAATATCAATCCCTACAGCTTACATTAGAGGGAGTTCTTTAGGATGATACAGCGTTCGCTCTATCATTGTATAGGCCTATGTTCCCTTTGTTGTGAACTATTGTTTTTGTTGAGTTAGCCTATACACTGTATGAGAAAATGTCTACTTTCCCTGGTCAAAAGAAAGTCATTAAAAAGTTGGGGAAATAAAATGAAATACATAAACTACAGCGCAGTAGCTAAAACACAGTCTGGGAATCAAAACCTACAGAAGCTGTCCTTGTGGGTAACATTATTTTCATAGGCTATCTGGCAGCATGAATGAAAGCGACTTGTAAGGTTATTTTGGTGGAAAGTTTTGTGCTGCTGACATTCGACAACACTTTTTCCCCCATCAGGGCGACTGAAAAGATTTGGCATGGGTCCCCAGATCCTCAAAAAGTTCTACAGCTGCACCATCAAGAGCATCCTGACCGGTTATATCACCGCCTGGTATGGCAACTGCTCGGCATCCGACCGTAAGGCGCTACAGAGGGTAGTGCGTTCGGCCCAGTACATCACTGGGGCCAAGCTTCCTGCCATCCAGGACCTATATAATCGGCAGTGTCAGAGGAAGGCCCAAAAAAATGTTGAAGACTCTAGTCACCTAAGTCATAGACTGTTCTCTCTGCTACCGCACGACAAGCGGTACCAGAGCGCCAAGTCGAGGACCAAAAGGCTCCTTAACAGCTTCTACCCCCAAGCAATAAGACTGCTGGACAATTAATCAAATGGCCACCCGGACTATTTACATTGACACCCCCCCCTTTTTGTTTTTACACTGCTGCTACTCGCTGTTTATTATCTATGCATAGACACCTACATGTAGAAATTACCTCGACTAACCTGTACCCCCGCACATTGACTCGGTACCGGAACCCCCTGTATGTAGCCTCGTTATTGTCATTTTATTGTGATACTTTTTTTTTTTAACCTTAGTTTATTTAGTAAATATTTTCTTAACTCTTTCTTGAACTGCATTGTTGGTTAAGGGCTTGTAAGTAAGCATTTCATGGTAAGGTCTACACCTGTTGTATTCGGCACGTGACAAAAAAAAAAGTGCTATGATTTGATGGTGTTAGAGTAACAACGTGGTCTCAGAGCATTTCATATTATTCTTTAAGTAAATCCGAGACACTCCATTTAATATGATATGTTACGTTTCGTATGGTACGTATTAATTAATCTCATATTATACAGTGGGGAAAAAAAGTATTTAGTCAGCCACCAATTGTGCAAGTTCTGCCAATTAAAAAGATGAGAGAGGCCTGTCATTTTCATCATAGGTACACGTCAACTATGACAGACAAATTGAGGAAAAAAAATCCAGAAAATCACATTGTAGGATTTTTAATGAATTTATTGGAAAATTATGGTGGAAAATTAGTATTTGGTCACCTACAAACAAGCAACATTTCTGGCTCTCACAGACCTGTAACTTCTTCTTTAAGGGGCTCCTCTGTCCTCCACTCATTACCTGTATTAATGGCACCTGTTTGAACTTGTTATCAGTATAAAAGACACCTGTCCACAACCTCAAACAGTCACACTCCAAACTCCACTATGGCCAAGACCAAAGAGCTGTCAAAGGACACCAGAAACAAAATTGTAGACCTGCACCAGGCTGGGAAGACTGAATCTGCAATAGGTAAGCAGCTTGGTTTGAAGAAATCAACTGTGGGAGCAATTATTAGGAAATGGAAGACATACAAGACCACTGATAATCTCCCTCGATCTGGGGCTCCACGCAAGATCTCACCCCGTGGGGTCAAAATGATCACAAGAACGGTGAGCAAAAATCCCAGAACCACACGGGGGGACCTAGTGAATGACCTGCAGAGAGCTGGGACCAAAGTAACAAAGCCTACCATCAGTAACACACTACGCCGCCAGGGACTCAAATCCTGCAGTGCCAGACGTGTCCCCCTGCTTAAGCCAGTACATGTCCAGGCCCGTCTGAAGTTTGCTAGAGTGCATTTGGATGATCCAGAAGAGGATTGGGAGAATGTCATATGAAACCAAAATTTAACTTTTTGGTAAAAACTCAACTCGTCGTGTTTGGAGGACAAAGAATGCTGAGTTGCATCCAAAGAACACCATACCTACTGTGAAGCATGGGGGTGGAAACATCATGCTTTGGGGCTGTTTTTCTGCAAAGGGACCAGGATGACTGATCCGTGTAAAGGAAAGAATGAATGGGGCCATGTATCGTGAGATTTTGAGTGAAAACCTCCTTCCATCAGCAAGGGCATTGAAGATGAAACGTGGCTGGGTCTTTCAGCATGACAATGATCCCAAACACACTGCCCGGGCAACGAAGGAGTGGCTTCGTAAGAAGCATTTCAAGGTCCTGGAGTGGCCTAGCCAATCTCCAGATCTCAACCCCATAGAAAATCTTTGGAGGGAGTTGAAAGTCCGTGTTGCCCAGCGACAGCCCCAAAACATCACTGCTCTAGAGGAGATCTGCATGGAGGAATGGGCCAAAATACCAGCAACAGTGTGTGAAAACCTTGTGAAGACTTACAGAAAACGTTTGACCTGTGTCATTGCCAACAAAGGGTATATAACAAAGTATTGAGAAACTTTTGTTATTGACCAAATACTTATTTTCCACCATAATTTGCAAATACATTCATTAAAAATCCTACAATGTGATTTTCTGGATTTTTTTTTCTCATTTTGTCTGTCATAGTTGACGTGTACCTATGATGAAAATTACAGGCCTCTCATCTTTTTAAGTGGGAGAACTTGCACAATTGGTGGCTGACTAAATACTTATTTTCCCCACTGTATGTTAGGAATTACAATTTGTACAATATGTTAGGAATTGCAATTCGTACAATATGTTACGAATTTGCAAAACGTACAATGTTACGAATTTGCAAACTGTATGATATGTTACAAATTCCAATTTGTTGTTGCTAACATTGGCTAGGTGGCTAATGCTAACGTTAGCTAGCTTTAGGTGTTAGGGGTTAATGTTAGGAGTTATGTTAATTGGTTAGCTTAAAGGGTCAAGGTTAGGAGAAGGGTTAGCTAACCTGCTAAATAGTTGCAAAGTAGCTCAAAAGTAGCAAGTAGTTGCAAAGTAGCAAAAAATTGTCTGTGATGAGATCGAACACGCAACCTTTGGGTTGCTAGACATTCACATTATACGCCCACCCCGACCAGCCACCCTACTTTGGTTTTTGCCTTAAGTAACCTTCTGTCTTATGTAACCATACCAAACATAACATATCATCCTAATTTGAGTGTCCCGGATTTACATTTACTATGTTACGTCTAGTCTATGAGACCAGGCTGGGAGTAGAGGTCTAAATGATTCACTACAGTTCCTGCATCTACAACCCTGGCAATAGTCTGACTACCTCGATCTTAATCTTTGTCTGCATCCTGATTCTCCCCCTTTTCCCGAAGTGTGCACTTGTACACTTTCTCACATGGACTAACAATGGTGGAAACTGCCCCCAGCCAATGCTTTAACCAATCCAATGCTTTTAAATCCATGACGGAAAGTGTGCAAAGGCACACTTCTGGAGAAGGGTGGAGAATCGGGACACAGCCTTTGTTGTGCTGCTGTGGACTGTCCATTACTGAGCACTTCCAAAATAGTCCTCCTTATCTATGCTTCTGCTGTCACTAATGTGGGGTGTTCTCATTCTGAATGATCACTCTGATTATGTGCCTGTGAGCACAGACAAAATGGCAGCCAAGGACTAGGCTTATATGGTAGTAGTGATGGGTTCCGCCATTCTATTAGGAAGCCTTGGTGGTCTCCCAAATGGCACCCTATTCCCTATGTAGTGTACTACTTTGACCAGGGCCCATAGTGCACTACATAAGGAATAGGATGCCATTTGGGACGCTCACTTGATCCTACTGGGCTGGCACCAAACAGTAGATAGAACGCCAGGCCCATTCTCATAAAGGGTCGTAACACCTCAAAAAGGATTGACACCCACCGTCTCAGATTGTTCTGAAATAGTTTCCGTTCTTAGAAACAGATAAGACTAGCATTCCTGCAACATTACTTTGTTTAAATAAAATTTGATCTGAGAAATTAAGCTAATTGATTGCACCCAAATTGGCCATTTCCATTTATAGGATTCAGATAATATTAAATAAATATAGTACCTACGGGACCTTCCACACCCCACGTCAATCCCACCCCAACGAGTATATAGTATCAGTTCTCTGTCTGACAAGTAGTATGGAGCTGCGGCTCGGCAATGGTGTAAAATATTTCAGTAAAAATACTTTATATCTACTATATAAGTAGTTTTTGGGGTATCTGTACTTTACTATTAATATTTTTGGACAACTTTTACTTCACTACATTTCTAAAGAAAACAATGTACTTTTTACTCCATACATTTTCCCTGACACCCAAAAGCACTCGTTACATTTTGAATGCTTCGCAGGACAGGAAAATGGTCCAATTCACGCACTTATGAAGAGTGCACTTATGGTAATCTCACTGCCTCTGTCTGGCAGACTCACTAAAGACAAGTGCTTTGTTTGAAAATTATGTCTGCGTGTTGTAGTGTGCCCCTGGCTATCCATAAATTTAAAAAACAAGACAATTGTGTTGTCTGGTTTGTTTAATATAAGCAATTGGAAAATATTTATACTTTTCCTTTTGATAATAAAGTATATTTTTGCAATTACATTTACTTTTGATAATTAAGTATATTTAAAACCAAATACTTTGACTTTTACTCAAGTAGTATTTTACTGGGTGACTCACTTTTACTTGAGTCATTTTCTATTAAGGTATCTTTACTTTTAGTAAAGTATGACAATTGGGTACTTTTTCCACCACCGCCGCTTGTATGCATTCCCAGTAATGTATTCCCAGAGAATTTGTATTTGTATTTTTTTGTTTTTATCTGCTCAGAGAAATCGGTAATTGAAGTTGTTTGGTTTATGTCTCATCCAACATCATGATATTACCAGGTTCTGACCACTAGATGGTGAGGTAATTTTTTTAAGTCCCCCTCCCCATGTTAAAAGGATAGTTCACCCAAATTACATGTTGGTTTGCTTACCCTGTAAGCAGTCTATGGACAAGGTATGACAGCAATCCATGCTTTGGTTTTGTTTCAAATGCTAACTTGGTAGCATTTCTGGCAAAAATCCAATGCAAGTCAATGGTATCTATATTAGCATTTTGACGCTTCATGTCCAAATTATCCTAAACTATCTAAATATGTATTGTGTAACTCAATGATGATACTTATAGAGGATTTGGATATGAAGCACGAAAATGCTAATATAGAAACCACATTTTTAATTTGTGAAACAGTGGCCAGGTAAACAAAACCAAAGCCTGGGTTGCTGTCATACCTTGTCCATAAACTGCTTAGAGGTTAAGGAAACAAATGTCATTTAACTGCCTTTAACATTGAGGGTGGGAGATTCTTTAAAAAAAAGAGCACCTATTAGCAGGAACAGCACCATATAGTGCTCAGAACCTGGAACTATCAGGATGTAGGATGGTCCAAATCGGCTGTTAGGTAATATTATATGAATCCTATGAATTAGAAATGGCCAATTTGGGTGCAATCAAGTAGCTTAATTTCTCAGAGATCAAATTATAGTTCAACAAAACAATGTTGCAGGAATGCTAATCTTATCCATTTCTAACTACAGAAATGATTTCAGAACAATCTGATATGGTGGGTGTCATGGCTTGCTGAAATGACATGGAACGACCCATAAAGGAAATGACTTCATCATCAGACTGACTCAGGCTTTTATATGTCAGCGTCCCAAATGGCACCCTATCCCTCTGGCTCTGGTCATAAGTAGTGCACTATGTAGGGAATACGGTGCCATTTGTGACACAGCCTATTCCACTGTTTTGAACCCTGCCAGTGCCTGCAGCCAACCAACCTCTTAGACTGTGGACCTAATACTATACCACAGTCTCTCTGTTGTCCTCCATTACTGGACTATAAACTGGCCAATTTGTCTCTGTGTACCTGCTTCTCTGAAAAGCACAGTCCATTGCTCCTAGCGGAGAAGAGTAAGGGTTGTTGAACTAGAATGAGCATGATGCTGACTGGTAGAAACAGGTGGAATGCCAGGTTTTAGGCAAGCCCCCCACACACACACACGCCACAATCTTCCAGCACATCTGGGTCAGTCTATGGGCCATGTCTGATGTACAGTATTTGGGTAGTCTGTTGCCATGGGTAACACTAGGGTTGCCAATGGGATTAGGCAGTAGCTGGACATCTCACCAAAGGTTAAAGAGGCCAACGTTATTCAAATGAACGCAAAAGCAGAGACTGGCCAACACCAACAAATGATGTATCCTTCCCAGGGATTTCCACCCTCGCTAATGCTACTAGTGGGTCTAACCCTACTTTTGACCAGAGCCCCGGTCAAAAGTAGTGCACATCATAGGGAATAGTGCGCCATTTGGGCCTCATGCCCTGAGGTCTGGGTGGGTGTACTAGGAAGTGAACTAAGCATAGTGAGCTTCTATTAAAAGACAAATCTGGACAAAGAAATGTTTCCAGTACTCACTGCCCACTCAAATGACATGATATCCCTCCCCCATAAAAACGCCACACCCCTCATCCATCCATCCAACTGTTCCCAGTTACACTGTAAAATAGAATGTGCCAATGACAACATAAGTCTCTCTCATAGGGAGGAATGTTGAGGGACACATGAATTGCGCCCGGCACCCTATTCTCTATATAGTGCACTATATAGGGTATGGCCCTGGTCACAAGTAGTGCACTATATAGGGAATAGGGTGTCATTGGGACACATAGTTTCCACTTCCAGAGAGATAGGAGAGAGACAAGGAAAATGTTCATCATTTCTTAGTTTAGTATGAAGAAGGCCGACAATTTATCTCTCAAAGAAAAAGTGAAGCTGCTGTGGATCATATGTTATGCTTGGGGCCAAGAGTTTTCCTCCTAACCACATGACATAACAGACATGTATCCAGTCACCATGACCAGATGCCACACCCTTGGCTTCTAAAGTACAGTTGACACCTTTGTTGGTACTGTGTAGGGACTTTTTCCTCCAGTTTTCCAACTCCATTCACCCACATCTCTTTGGGAATTGTTCAAAAACGGTTTATCATTTACAAAAGGAACATCATTAGGCTACAGAATTGAGGGACCTGTTTGGGGTTTTATTGTGGTAAATTCTTGTAACTTGGAAGTCCATAAAGTTTGTCCCAGCAGTTATGATCGCTGTCATTTATCTTTTTTACAAGGCCAATGAAGGGGTGGGGTAGTGTACTGAGCAGGTGAGATCACCTGACTCCAAGTTTTCTATCCTAGTATTACACCCAAAATGGTTTTCCAGAACAAAGCCCCGGCTCTATACCACCATCTCTGAAGTCAGTTATGGAAAAATTAATTTGCAGTAAGTTATTGTCGGGCCTAGTTAGTTAAACAATTCCCCATTCAATACGCCCAAAAAAGGACAGCTGTCAATGAGGCGATAGTATCTGCGACGTGGCTATCCCTAGGTAGCTAACGTTAGTAACTAGCTACTATTTCAATACCGCACAAGGGACTGATAGTTAGCTACCTAGCCACATTTGTGCGATCATAACTAGCTAACTAGCCAACTTCGAAAATAGGGCTGAGTTAAGATACAGGATTGATAGCAAAATCAGTTGTTCGGCCATCCCCTCCCAAACTAGTTAGACTTCTTTAAGCTCACGTCAATTAATAAAAGTAGGCCGTGGACGTGTATTACATTAGTTAACTGGTTAGCTGCTAGTTCAATTTAGACAGCAAAACAGTAGATAGCTAGCTGAGTTAACGTTAGCTGGCTAAAGTTAGCTGACACGCAAGGGTGTTGCGGGCGTCATGTGTTGTGAATCGATTCGAGATTCATGCGAAATGGTAGCTATTTGAACGTGATAGTAATAAATCAATATAGCTAGCTAACGCTATTATGAGAAGGAGAAAACAATAAAGTGTCCCTTGCCCTTGGCTGGTGTAGCTTTGCAAGCTAACGTTAGCTAGTTAGTTAGTGCTAAGCTTAGCTAGTTAACGTTAGCCTAGCTAGCATTACAAAGGCCGGGGGACTGTTTTCGTAGGCCAATGTTTGAACGCCAACTTACCGAGATAGACACTTGATCCTCGCCTGTAAACTTCGGTATGTATTTATCCCCTCTCTCCACCTCTGACTTGTTCAATGGCCTAAAACGGCACATCACTTTGATGGTGCACTCCGCCGGGTCCACCATCTTCGCGGCCGCTGTGAATGAATGGAGTCACACCAGACAAGATCCTGCGGCTGCTAGCTAGCTAACTGCTACCACAGGAGAAGCGCCCGATCGCCCTGTTGGAAGCAAAGAGAGGCCGCACCCAGTGAATGCTGCTTGAGTTTGGTCAATCTCTTCCCTCCTCGTAAAACGTAGCAAGTTGACTATTCATCAGTAATATTAATTTAAAAGGACATCCATTCAAAAGATGGAAGTCATGTTGACGACCCCGCTGTACAGTACAGTACTCTGACTTGCTCTTCGAGTCGGGAGGGACCCCTGTGTCTGCGGGTCTGAACAGAGAGGAAGAAGCGAAGCGAGAGGTATAACTACACCCAAATCTGTCTTATCCAGCAGGTGGCGTTTTTCCGCTCACCAAGCGAGAGGTTTTTGTGTGGCGGTCAATGAGTGTCGAATTTGGTTAACAAAAAAATAAATGGCTTATTTGCTACGTGTATCTTATTTGATCGAATATAAGTTTCGTAAGGATTCGGTTGTTACCAGTGTATTAATATAAGTAGGACACGTGACATCCCGGCAACTTTGAGAAAAAACACTTTATATCGGAGTTGTGCATGGTCATCACTATTACCGCAGCCACAGTCATAAACCCCGCCTATTTCTAAAATGTATCTTCTTAAATGTGATTTTAAACATAACCCTATCCACACTGCTAACCTTCTGCCTAATTAAAACCAAAAAGGAAGTGTTTGTAATTTGTACGATATAACCAAGTTTGACTGTGGAAACTGTTGTGCCTGTTGTTCACGTATCTGCACTCTCATTGGCTAAAATGGTCCCACCTGATCTTGCCTCCTCTCGACTGCGTTCCATTTGTGGATGCATGGTATTTTCGTTGTTAGAGCGGCACTAGAGTATCTGGTCAATGTAATGGATAATCTGTGGTCTGAATAACCCGGTGACGTCACCTCTGCAGTTATGCGGCGTTCATATACTATTCGGAACTAGGAAACTTGTAAATTTCCGACTTGCTGATTTGTTGAACGCAACACGTGTATAACTACAACCACTTAGCATGTCGGAATTTTCCTAGTTTCCTAGTTCCGACTAGCACATGAACGCGGCATAAATTATCAACAAACTACAACCAATGGGTTTTGTCAGTATCCATTTGTAGAACATGCCACCATTAATTAATTGACATTCCTAATTTGGACAGTGTCACTGACTATACTGGATTATTTCCTTTACATGCAATCTATTCGAGTCCTACAAGACTGTAGGCTACTACCACACTCAGACAAGTGGTCACGCTGAACAGATTTCAAGATGTAGGAATGCTTATCACAACTGTGATAGGCAGGCCAGACTTCAGAGGGGCCAAACTCTAATCCACTGGGGTAGGATATATAATCAGATTCCAATGGGATTTGCCTATGCAAATACTCCTTCATATGACACAAAAAAACAACACTGGTTTTTAATTTGAGTATCCACCCTTGTTTGTCTGGGATGTCCAAATTATCAGTGTGGCCCTTGACAAAGCACAGAGAAGAGCAAACATCTCTATGACTAATGAAACGAAAAACCTGTTTTACTCACTGTGTGTGGTGTGTGTGGAGGTGTTTAACTATACTTGCGGGCACCAGAATTCCCAACAAGAAAAGTAAACGAACGAAAATTTGACCAACTGGTCAAATGCTATTTCTAGGTGGTTTACGGTTAAAGTTAGAATTAGTGTTAGGGTTAGAATTATAATTAGGTTGAGGGTTAGGAGCTAGGGTTAGTTTTAGGGTTAGGGTTAAGGTCATGTTTTGGGGTTATGTTTAGGGTTAGGGCAAGGATGAGTGTTAGGTTTAGGGCATTTTTTTTTTTTTTTTTTGTTTTTAGTCATTTAGCAGACGCTCTTATCCAGGGCGACTTACAGTTAGTGAGTGCATACATTTTCATACTGGCCCCCCGTGAGAATCGAACCCACAACCCTGGCGTTGCAAGCGCCATGCTCTACCAGCTGAGGTACAAGGAGGGAAAATAGGATTTTGAATGTGACTGAATTGTGTGTCCCCACAAGGTTAGTTATACAAGACTGCAGGGTAGGTCCTTGCCGTTCTGCCGCCCTAGGCAAGACCAAAAAAAATCAGGCTCGTTTTTGGTTCTGAATGAAAGTTGAAAGTAAGTCATTTATAGAGGTCTACGTTTGGGCCAAATCCGGACCAGACCAAAAATGTATGTCCGTGGACTTAAATCAAGGCCGGTCTGGACCACACCAAATCTGAACCAAACATAGACGTCTATGATTGGTTCAGATTTGGTCCGGACCAGACCAAAAACCAAAGTATGTGGATGTGGAAATCAAGGCCTGTCTGAAACTGCACCAAAAAAAAAGTCAAAAAGGCGTCGGCGTTGGTCCATGCTTACTGGGGTGTAGCCTACAGTGTTGCCTGAAATTGAATTTTATGAATGCCCATCTATGTGGTAAGCCTACGGTTTGTAAAACACACAAAAAAGACGTCCAAAAGACGTAGGCTCGTGCTTACTGGGGTGTAGCCTACCATATGGCCTGCAATGGAATTTTATGAATGCCCATCCATCTGGTAGGCCCACCGTTTGTAAAACAGGCCATTGCATTGGCTTTATTAGTCCTGATTCCTGTGACTAATCAATTTGGCTATTTAAGCTCTGAACATCAGCTACCCAACTTTATCAGGAGTTATCGTGAGCCTATTTGCAATGTGTTTACACAGCAGGAAATGCAGAAATGTTTTCTTTTTCGCTATGATCAGCTTGTCAAAAATTAACGATACCAACTTGAAACCACTGATCATGACAATGGGGTGAAACTCCTGGACAACAGTTGTGATTGTCCATTTCACTTTGAACTGTCCTGTTTTTAGGATATGTTGTATGTTAACATGACAGCGCGTTTTTTTTAGGATTGAGCGTCATTTAGGTTAGGCTGTTTGATCGGAGAAACCTGCATGATGTAATAAGTGTCCGTCTCATTACATTATCATACATTTTATCTCCAGCCTGTAGGCTACAGAAAAGGCCACATTTTCTTTCTACCATATCTTATATCTGCTACGTGATTTATGTTAGGTGATTTTTTGTTGTTGGTGGCTGTTGGAGAGACGCCCCTGCCTTTGACAAAGTGGGCACTGCTTATCACAGGGCGGCATCAGCGCTCACCTAAAAAGCCCACATGCCACTGGTTGAGAGAAATTGTCATTGTTTTTGGGCAGAATTATGTGAGGTTTTATGTGTTGTTGTTTTAGGTGAGTCTTGGTCAGTTTAGCTCAGAAAATGCAGCCCTCGTCAATCAGCCGCTGGCATGCTTGTGTTTGTGTGGGAGTGTGCACGCCAATGTGTGTATGTGATGTTTGCTTGTGTGTGTGTAAATGCATGTGTGCCTATGTTTGTGTGTCTATTTCTCAAGTAATATACCAGCTACAGACCTAAAATATTAATTCCAGTGGCTTTACTTGGTGATATAAAAGCATAGACATGTTACCTACACTGTAGTCTCTCGTTTGGTTCTGTGTGCAGAGATGACGTTGTACACAGTACCTTAGACAGAGATGGCTGACATACAAACCTGGCTCTGGGCCTGCTCTTTGAAGGTAATGGAAGAATGTACTGCCAAGAAGACATTCTACACATCAAGCCATGTGCTGTACACTGTCTCTGTACACCCCAGATTTGTCCAGTACACCTTTACACACACAGTGCGGCTGTCCAAAGACAACTTCTCGAGGGGCATGTTAATGTTTAGGTAACAAAAGAGAGTCTAAGAAAAGATCAATGGAGCCAGTTGTTATCTGAGAGCTAGATTAGCATCCCTCTCATCTGACACCTCTGAAGTGTGTGCCCAGCCCTATGTTGACATGGGTTTGGGCACCGGCCCAACTGAACAGGTGGTCCCCGTACCCAGATAGATACTGCTTTCAACCATGGTTCTGTCCTAAATGGCATCCTATTCCCTATATTAATCCTATGGGATCTGGGCAAAAGTAAGGCACTATGTAGGGAATAGGGTGACAATTGGGATGTATCCCATGGCTTTCTTGGCGAGAGCTGCTTCCTGCTGCAACAGAGAGGTTTGAGTGGGGATTATAGGAGATTTCACCTTAGGGATATTTGGAATCACTTTGGGAAGGTGAAATGGGTTTTTAAACTGTCTGTTCTGGAGATTGACTGATATAGAATCCAGGTAAACCCCATGGGAAATATATTGTCAACACACAAACCAGGATTATCAAACACTGCCTCCTTGTGGTTAGGATCAGTCCTTCACTGAGGTATGGTAATGAGATTGAGGGCCACCCAGTTGAAACCTACATTTGGTATGAAATTATGACATTCTTATGTTGATTGTTTAATTTACACACACACACACGCCCGCACGCACACATACACAGACACACAGTCTAGAATGAAAACGTACCCAAATGTGCTTCAGTCCAGCTTGTACCAAAACACACACTCCCTGTCTGTGAGAATGCCATCCTGTCCGTCTCCTAGCAGAACAGCCTCTTAATTATGGGGGGCCTCTGCAGCAGCCAATTAGTGTAGCAGTCCCACTGGTCTTAATTATACAAACTACACTGATAATGACTACAACACAAACGCATGCTGTCATTACACTGGCTGCACACAAATACTCGCTTTTTTATTTTTTAATTCACAATATTTCAAAGGATGAAAACAGAATGTGCTGATGATTGAACAGGATGATTCAAAGAGGTATGGTAGACAGTCACCTTGCTATTAATTTAATAGAAGATGGCATTGAGAATGTTCTAGACTTTCATCTAAAGAGGTTCATCATCACGGTTGGAGGTCTGAGAGATGAGTCATTCTGGTTCAGAGAACATACTGTACAGAGAACATACTGTACATCTCAGAACCCCAACAATGGGGTAGGCTCTGCTGGTCACTGTCATTTTTAACGGTTTATTTTGAGTCCTCCAAGAATCAGCTTCCAGCTAACTACAAGAGGGAGTTTGTCACCTGAATTGTAT